CCTTGGGTTGAGCAAAACCTGTTTGTGGCTTATGCTTGTTCAAGCTGCCTGGGTTTATCTGCTTCTGGTGGGGTCAGAAAGGTGACAAAATCCGGCCGCCTTTCGGTTGGCCTTGCACCATCCATCTTGTCAGAGGCCCAAAGGGATAAGGAGTGTTTTTCTTGTGTGCTTCAGTTGGCAACACTTTGAAAGTACTGTAGAGACACCTCCAGGAAGCTGGAGCCCCGATGGCACGGGACGAATTGGGAGTCATAGAATCATAGAAAAGTTAAGTTGGAGTCGCCTATAAGGCCGTCAAGTCCAAACCCCTGCAGGAATACAATCAAAGCAGATCTGCCAGGGGATTATTTTATTTATAATCCAAGTTCTTCTTGAATTCCCCCAGTGTTGGAACACTCACCAACTCCTGAGGTCACTAGCTGCACTGTCATACTGTTCTAACAGTTAGGAAGTTTTTCATAATATTCAACCGAAATCTGGCTTCCTGGATGGGTAGAGGAAAATGTTCCTGTACCCATCCAGTGGCTGAAGGTGACTCCTGCTCTGCCGGCAAAGGGTTGTGTGGCTCATTGTCCTTCTCTCGATCCTCACCGGCCTTTAATTGACATCTAGAGTGCTGAGATGGGTGTGGGGAGGAGAAGTCCCTTTCCTGCCAGCTGCTTGATTTAACTGGTCAGGTCCTATACCGTGTTCTAGGTGCCGTGAGGGGGCTGAGTCCTAGCCTCACCATTGCTAGCTTTAATCTGGCGTTTTCTGCCCTCCTTGTTCCATGGCTGGTGGAGAGGAGGCCCACTAGACCAGGTCCTCTCTGGCAAGGACATCGCCAAGCTGCAGTGGGAAAGGCTGTCATGGGTACCAGAAGGTGGGGAACTCCTGGCTCATGTTCAGGTTATGCAAAGTCACTAATGAAAAAGGTCAGGAAGCCCAAAGGGTGCACGTACACATGAGCTTTTGAAGTAGGTTCGTTGATCAAACCCACCCAACAGGCAGAGACCTGTCCACCCAAAAGACCGGACACCAAAACACAACAGGAGCAATATAGTATATATGGTCCAATGCAAAGAGGAGTGTTTGGAACTCTATATTGGAGAAACCAAGCAGCCGTTAAAGAGGAGGATGGCCCAGCACAGGAGAGGCAACGGCTCAGGACCACAACCAGCAGTGTTCCTTCATGTGAAGGACAAAGGACACTCATTGGATGACCAGGATGTACTCATTTTGGACCAAGAAGATACAGTAGATGGTTTGAGGGAGGGGTCAGGGAGGCCACACATGTACATATAGAAAATCCCTCACTCAACGGGGTGGGGGCCTTAGATACAATCGGTCTCCAATTTCTCGTGCTGCCCTTTTCTCCATGAGGCATGCTTTGGGGTGAAATATATTTCAAGAGCGTAAAATGCGTAGTGTCATGCACAAAACAGATGTGCAGATCATGGCGAGAGGGAGCGTGCCTCTGCGTATGGTAGGGAAAAGGCCTATAAAACCCAAGGCCAGAGTCGTACCCATTACCCCCTTATGCCTTTGCTAAGGAGCCCCAGAGATGTCGGGGGGGGGGAGGGCAACAGTTCTCTCCTGAGTTCCTGACTTTCTGACAGCTAAAAGCAAAACAAAAAAAAGCAAAACAAGACAAAAAACAAACAAACACCCCAGCTTGTTTTCCCAGACAGCCCACCTCCCTGCCGCCCTCTCGAAATGGCCGTGTGTGACGCAGCTGTGTGACCTTGAAGTGTTTTCTGTTTGTGTTAGAAGCCGGGGCGCCTTGGCCACCTTCCCAAAGGTCTATTGTTCTCAAGCTGAGCCTGGAGGGACCTCCACTCCTTCTTGTTTGCTGCTGGGGTGGGAATGAAAGATCATGCGTAGAGACCGGGCATGTAACAATGAGAGCCTTTCTCTTTCTATTGTTCCACTATTTTGGGTGGGTGGGGGGCCCTCCATGCCTCCCGGGAAGGGATATAAAGCACCCTCGGCAGAACTGGAGAGCACTCCCTCCTGCCTCACCATGAAGTCCAACGGCCTCACCTTCCTCCTCGTGGGCATCCTGGCTCTCTTTGCCACGATGACCTCGGCTGGTCATAAAGGTGAGTGGTCTCTGAAGATCTGGATTGGGGAGCCGTCCCCCTCCCCTCGCTCCCCGCATGAGCAAGGCCCTGCACAACCGCTTCAGCTGCTGTCAGCCCCAGATTCGTCTATGGCTCTTCTTGAGTATCTCCGTAATATTTGAGACATGGAGTGTGGAGACAAGTGACAGCCTTAGGAGTGATTAAAAGGGCATGTCTTTAGGAAGTGATAGGGATGTGGTGGCGCTGCGGGTCAAACCACAGGAGCCTCTGTACTGCAAGGTTAGAAGACCTGCAGTCACAAGATCAAATCCATGCAACGGATTGAGCCCCCGTCACTTGTCCCAGCTCCCACCAATCTAGCAGTTCAAAAGCATGCAAAATGCAAAAAAATGCGAGTCGATAAATAGGTATCACCACGGTGAGATGGTCACGGCGTTCCGTGCCTAATTGCGCTGGCCACGTGACCACGGAAGATTGTCTTTGGACAAACGTTAGCTCTATGGGTTGGAAATGGAGATGAGCACCGCCGCCTAGAGTTGGACACAACTGGACAAACTGTTAAGGGGAACCTTTACCTTTACCTTAGGAGGTGATAGTTTAAGACTCTTGCTTCTGCTCAGCAGTAGAAGCTCGGGCTGAAACAAGAGCCCAAGGGGCTCTCAGTGGTGAGAAAGAGGCAGCAATGGGTCAATGGCCCCGAGAAGAGAAAGAGAGGAATCCATTCCTAGCGCATCATCAACAGCCACAGAGCTGCAGCCCAATAGTCGGTGGCTGAATAGGAAGTCAGTCTCAGAGGGATGCTCTCTGACGGGGAGCCATCTGCCATTGAGCAAACAATTGTACCTCTCCGGAGAAGTGAACCAGCCACAGCCGCTCAGGTGTCCCTGGTGGGAAAAGCTCTCCTGGGAAAGGGGGAAGGTAAGGGGCCTCGTTCTGTAGCCATGCTGAGGCTGTCTGGCTTGTCCAAGGGTGTGTTTTGTCTCCCTGCTCGTTCTCTCTGTATGTTCTGCAGAACAGATCATATAGAGCTGGATTAGAATCAGAGGAAGAAAGAATGAAAATGGATGGAAGAAACACCAGTAATTGGATGAATTATTCATCAAATGAATAATAATCATACTGATCAATTTCTTGAATAATTCATCAAATTGATGAACTCATTGGGCAAGAGGTGAAAGCGCAGAAACAGGATTACAGTAGACTTGGCGTGGGCCAGTACTCTCTTGACTGTATTTACTCACCAGTTTGCTCTATGGATTGAGCACGATCCACCATAAACTCATCTGGAGGCAGCATGAACCAGTTTGTTCTCTGGCTATATGTTTCCAGACGGGAGCTAGAGCCGCGGAAAACATATTTTATTTATTTTATTTTATTTATTTTTTCGGCTTTTACTTCACCCATCTAGATTAAAATGAAAACATAGAACTAGTGACCTGGGATACGTGGCACAACACAGCATGATTGGTTTTGGTTGAGTGCAGACAAAGTACAGGAGAAAAGGAAAGAAGTGGCAGATATTAAAATGGAGAAAGTTCAGAGATATTTGATATATTGAAAAGGGATTTTTTCAAATTTAGTAATACATCTAATAGATGTTGGCCAGAGCCATGCAAGTTAGAAAACTGAAGTCTTATTAGAGTATATAAAAATTAAATGGGCAAAAGATGTACAGTACAGTGGTGCTTTGACTTAAAAACGTAATCCATTCCTGAAGGTGGGCATAATTCGAAATGGTCATAAGTCGAAGCACCATTTCCCATTGAAATGCATCGAAATGCAATTAATCTGTTCCGGCTGAAGAAAAAAAATCACAAAAAAATCACTGCATAACTAATTAGAAACGCAATTAATCCCTTCTGGCTGAAGGTGACTGAAGGGGAGGGGGGCAAAGAAAAGCAAGTGAAGCATGCATGACAGATCGGAAATGGGGGAAAAGCAAAGCAAAAAGCAAGTGAAGCATTCAAGACAGATCAGAAATGGGGAAAAAGCAAAGCCAGGCTTTGTTGGCTCCCAGCACTGAAAAATACAGCCTGCAAAATGAACGAACTCCACTTAGCCACAAGGACCAGTGATCACTGCATGAACGAACTCTACTTAGCCACAAGGACCAGTGATCACTGTACACAAAAGACCAGCAAACCACACCCATCAATCACAGTGACAGATCATCTCTCCATCTTATCATAACAGGACACCCATGACAAAAAACACGCTGATCATTATAATCACCCAATCTCCTGAAAAAGGACAAAAAGCTGATCCCACAGCTATAAATACTCAACTATCCAAACAAACTGCACCAGAGCACAGACAGAGTTCTGACTCCTGTCCTCTGAAGATGCCCATGGCCACAGAGACTGGCGAAGCGTCAGGAAGAAAAACCGTAAGAACAGGGCCAAACAGCCCGGAAAACCCACAACCACTTCCTTGCTTCCTTCCTGCTGCTCAGCTGATGGGGAAAGTGCTGAGCCAGGAGGAAGAAGCAGCACCTCCAGTGGCTTTGAGCTTTAGTCCAAAAGGGTTCCGGGGACCTCCCTGGTGATGCCAGATTTCCCAGATGGGATGTTGAGGGTTAAGAGGAGCCTTTGGGAACGGCCTCCTCACTCCCAGAGGAGCTTCTGGAAGCACCTGTTGAGGGCAGGATCTTCCCCCGTCAGACTCCGTTCTTCACTCCCACCGGTGGCTTCTCTGAGGACTCTCCCTCTCCCTTCTCAGTGGCACAAGGTGACGGGCTCTTTGCTGCCCCAGGAATGCCAGACAGGACCCGAGGGGGGAAAGCTCCTGTCCCACCTTTCCCTTCCCCAGCTCCTCTCTCTTCCTCTCTCTGGCTGGCTGCAAAAAATTCCCGAGGGGTCCACCAATTTTCGCAGTGAGGGAGGTGCTGGTTCCAGTTTGACCAGTGAGCTTAGTGGTGTTTCTTCTTTTTCCACAGAGATCTGCCTCCTTCCTAAGGTTGTAGGGAAATGTCTCGCCTACATGCCCCGTTATTATTACAACCCAGAGACCAAGAAGTGTGAGAAGTTCATTTATGGCGGCTGCGGGGGGAACGAAAACAATTTTGAGACTTGGAAGGAGTGTCATTACACCTGTGAAGGTAAGTGGGAAAACACGAAAGTCTCCGCTTATCTATGTGTGGCAATTACAGTGGGTTGGAAGAGGGTCACAAGGGGGCCTGATATGTGATTTGGTACACTCCGCGCATCCCAATGCCCTGTGGACCTCAGGAGACCCTCTTTGGTTCAGAGCAGCCTGACGTCAATTGGCGAATATTGGGAATTGGCTTAAGAAGAACGGCAGTTCATGGTACTATTTATTTATTTATTTATTTATTTATTTCCCACCTATCTGGTCGATATGACCACTCTAGGCGGCTTACAAAGTCATAATACAATAATATAACAGTAGTAGGCATCCTTCAGTCTCGAAAGACTATGGTAGCGTGCTCTGTATGGAGGACTTGGAACAGCGTCTCGTGTGGCTGAGAAGGCCAATTCGAGAGTTACAATCTCTTCCACACTGAACCCGTGTTGTTTTGACGCTGTATGCGAAGCTGGAGTGTCCTCTCCAGAGCACGAAGCCACCCACCTCTCCAGAGCCATCCTCCACCCACCTCTGCTTGTCAGCTTTCATTTTTGTTACTGCCCAAATGTTTTAGTGGAAAAATGTGCTCAGTTGCATGCTCATACCCAAGGCTGTTACCCAAGCAGCAAATCCCCCCTCTCCACGTTGCTGAAATGGTCCAATGGAAAGGCAAGAGCCAATACAACAGTAATAGCAATAATAAAAAAAGAATTATTACAATCAATTTAAAAAACTTCAAGATGGGGAAAAATGAAAAATGAACTACAAAGAAAAGAGAAGAGAAAAGCAAATATTATCTGGAGGGGAAGGCCTGCTTGAACATCCAAGTTTTTAGTTGACTTTTAAAAATACTGGCAAATTAAAGGCTTCCTCAGCTCTGTGGCAGGGCAGAGGAAGTGAACTTTTTTAAAAAGTGTGTTAGAGCAGCAGATACGTGCTGCATCACTTATGCATTGTGAGTTAGGCATGTGTATATCAAAACAAAATGTAAAGGAGATGGGGACAGTTATAGGAAATTGAATGCAGACTTCCAAAGAATAGCAAGGAGAGACAAGAGGGCCTTCTTAAATGAACAGTGCAAAGAAATAGAGGGAAATAATAGAAAGGGAAAAACCAGAGATCTGTTCAAGAAAATTGGAAATGTTAAAGTAACACTCTATGCAAAGATGGACACGATAAAGGACAAAAATGGTAGGGACCTAATAGAAGCAGAAGACATCAAGAAAAGGTGGCAAGGACACATTTGATCAGCTACATGCACAAAGCGGATGGTCCAAGGGAGGTGGTCTGGGACCACCTCATGATGCAGCCTCATGATGGAAAGGTCTCTCCAGCATTGTCAGCAGGCGAGGGGCTCCTCGTTCACTGGCAAGGGGCTCATTCCTGGTGTGTAGAAGGCCGGAAAATGGGCACCCCATTCCACACCGCCATGTCCCCCTTAGGAGCTCTGGGCTTCCCTGACCTGCTGCATAGATGCAAAAGTACCTTTTGGTTCAAAAAGTGCCTTCACATCCAAGGGCTGTGATCTGTTGCAGAGAAACCGGGCACCTGCCCCAAGCCTCCCAAAGATATTGTCACCACCTGTGATGTAAAATGCGAGAATGACTGGAAGTGCCCAGGGAAGAAGAAGTGCTGTCCCTATGGGTGCAAGATTGGTTGCTACTACCCACTGAAGGTGAGTTGAATTGTAAAACTGCTATGTTGTGCAGAATGGCAGTTAAGGTATTCCCTCCTAAGGACCCCGTGGTGTCCATCTTCGAAGCCAGATTCTCTTCCCTCTCAGGCACATTGCCTTCAGCTCTAGAAACAGTGCTGGGGGTGGCACCCTTCGACCAGCAGAGTGTTTAAGGTCACCTGGGGAAAGGTGGCTGGTGTCCTCCCGGGCACTGGCATCCCTCACGGACACCTTCGGAGCCTGAGCCATCCTCCACCCACCTCTGCTTGTCAGCTTTCATTTTTGTTACTGCCCAAATGTTTTAGTGGAAAAATGTGCTCAGTTGCATGCTCATACTTTCATAGCACCTATGCAATAGAACATCATAACTGATCTTTTAAAAAGGAAGTCAGCATGAGTTTTGGGAGGGGAAAGGACCATCATGCAGACCAGAAAAGCCAGCTTCTCCCGACAGGTACATGAGTAGCGCTCTCCCAGGCTGGTGGGGCCATTCCGACCACCTCCAGAATTGCTCCTGGGATGGAGAGCCAAGGCCTCTGGGCCTCCACAGCTGATCCAGACAGGGCGGCTGTAACTCAGAGGAGGTAGAATCGTAGAATCGTAGAACTGCAGAGCTGGGAGGGACCCCGTGGGTCACTGAGTCAAGCCCCTGCCAAGGAGACTCAGTGGGGGATTGAAATCCTCACCTCAGCCCCTGAGCTATCCTGGTCACATATGATGTCTAGAAATAGAGGAAAATAGGCTCCAATAGGGTAAGACTGGCAGAGCAGGACACACAAATACATGCTGCAGGGTGAGGGTCAGATGCATCCCTATCAATGGCCTTACTATTTTGTGTTCCTGGATATCGGTCATTGGCTGTAGGAAAGTATCTGTCTCTCTGTGTGTCCTTGAACTGCCAAGGGACAGGACACCCCTCCCCAGCCCCAAGAGCCAGCTGTCCGAAGCCAGGTCTTGTGCCCCTCTCTTTAGGCTCCGTCTTGCCTCTAACTTTCATCGGCATCAAAGCAGAGGGGGAAACAAAGGTTGGGCCATGTTGTGTTTCCAAAGCAAGTCAAGGTGATGCTGCTGATCCAAACTCACCAATCAGCTTTCATCCAGGACACTTGTTGAATTGGGTGAAGCGGAATTCCCCTGGACCAGACCGAGATTCATACCAGTTTGTTCAACGAGTCCCCAGGACAAACTGAGGCGCCCACGCAGAGGCCTAACTCGTAGGTCTGTGGAATAGCGCATGACCTCCTGGCCCTGCTCAGGCGTTACGTCTCTGCTGCAGGTGCGCCCTGTGGGCTGTGTTGCATGGCTTTGGATGCTCACTTTGAACAAGCTGGCCCAGACTGAGACTCTTGGGCAGCCCAGGGTCTCAGCATCCCACGGCAGGATCTTCTCGCGCCTCTTACGGTGGACTCCAGCCTTCTTTCACCAACCCTCTCCCCACCATCCCTCCTTCCACCCTGCCAAGACCGGCTGCTTCAGAACAAGAGCTCCACTCAGGCCCAGGAAGCTTCCCTGTGGGTTGGGCCCACAGTGGGTCAGAAGAAGCCATTGCCCTGGCCTGCCCTCTTCACGACACCCAAAAACTGATTCACCCCCCTTTTTTTCTTTCTTTCTTTCCACAGTAGGCCCCGGAGAAGCAGCTGGAGACGTTGACTGAAATTGGCCCTCTGCACATCTCTGACGCAACCCACCTCCATCCTCCCTCAAGAGATTTGAACCATGATGGTTGTTCAAAGTTTCCTCTTCTCCTCAATAAAGGCACCAACTCATTGGCAGGCCGGTGTGTGTGTGATTTGTCTGACCACCCTCCTTTTTCTACAGCTACACTCATAGTCTCTGGGGGGTTCATGTGTAGGGGAGAGTGAACGGGAGGAGAAGGCAGGCACATATTGGATGGGATTGGTGGAAGACACAAAAGAGAGTGAGGTTGCCTACTGTTTCTGGGAGCTGAAGTGTGGGAGAGAGTGAACAGGAGGAGTAGGCAGGCACATTTTGGATGGCATTGGTGAAAAACACAAAAGAGAGTGAGTTTGTGTGTTTTTGCCTGTTTGTCTGAACTGCAGCTCTGTGCCCTGCTTTAAGCACATGGTAGTGTAGCTGGCTTGGAATAAACCAAGAGCAACAGCAGCTAGCGGCTTTGAGAGGCAGCCGGTGCGAGGGGAGAGAACAAAGCCTCATGTGCAAGGATTCTAAAAGCCTGTGTAGCCCCCTCAACTGATATACAACACAGTTCGAAAATGGATTAAAAGCTTCCTGAAAATCATGCACATACTGAGCCAGCAACCATGCAACTACCATGTGACTTTAAACAGACTTCAAAAACCTTGATCCATGAATAACTGAAAGGCAGAAAAGCAGTTTAGCAGGTTAATAGAACTCTGGGGGATTGGCTGAATAAAGGGAGGGAAACAACTCATGATGAGCCTACCAAATCTTTCTAAAACTGCCAAAAAAAACCAGCCTCTGCACCCTCATCTGGGGCCACCAGTCCAGTGCAGCAAAGCTCCATTGACACAATGTTATTTCAGGAAATTTTTCAGAAAGACCTACAAGCAACACTTCAGAAGATTCAAGACAGAGTTATGCCACACAAAGAGGAGACAAAAAACCCCTTGAGCTGTCACTCAATTTGTGTTAATTCTGTAACCTTACCCTTTGAAGCAAACCATTGCAGAATGATTTCGGGGCTAATTTCCCATCTGCAGGTATATTCAGGCTCTGGTGGAAGCAATAGATCAAGAACAAATACATGTGATTGCCAAACGTGCAGAGGGACACACACACAGGATCTCAGATACTCTTGGCATATCTAGAGGAGGACACTTGCCCAGACATTTGAAGACTCCCCCCAAAAACTTCCTCTGCTTCCTCTGCCCTCATCCAATCCCACCCACCCCTCTCTTTTTTTCCAATTTTATTTATATCCCGCCTATCTGGTTGGTTAAGACCACTCTAGGTGGCTAACAGCATAAAATAGTATAAAAATTTTTTCCCCCTCTCCATTGTCCCATTTTCATCCCATTGTGCTTTGAACAAGAGCTTTCAGGGTCAGAAAGCTGCATGACCCCAGAGGGGAGCAAGTATAGGAGTGGAACAGAGAATTTATTTTTATTAGATTTCTTATTAGATTTCTATGGCACTTGGTGAGTGCAGCCCTTTGTTAATCAGGAGGCTGGTTGTGTCAGTTATTTGCCTGTTGGCCAGGTTGATGCCATGTTCCCGAGGAACATGAAGCCATGCACAGGGTGTTGAAATGCACACAAACACACTTGAGTAAACGGGGCGAAATGCAGAAGTTAGGTGAGACGTTTAAGCAACGTTAGGGAAAATGCCCAGAGAGCACACACATGTTTGTGGTAGATGTTGAAGAAACTCAGTAAATTTGAGACACAGGGGTTACCAAATTCCCTGGCAGTTTATTTTCGGGGGGAGGGAGGGGGTAATCATAGAGGATGGGGAGGGAGGGAATCTTTCCCTCCCTGGCCGTGGCCCGCTTGAAAAGTCCCCTTCCACCTGAGTCATAATTAAGCACTGGCAATACAGTACCTCCCATTGCCATTTATGGAGATTTCGGATTTTGGAAGCTTGAGTCCCTCTCCTCAAGTGGACTGATGATGACCATCAAAGCACCCAGCTTGCATGAGCCTTCTGAAGGGCGAAGACGTGGGAGGACTTTTGAAAGCTGTAGTGGCCCTGCATTCTTGAAATAAATGTAGAGAATCAGTCTGCAGAGTAAGTGGTCACTCGGATGGAATATGATCTGAGTTATGGGGACACCCGTGTTGCCCTAGTGTTACATTAAATTTCTAGTTAACAAAGAATGGCATTTAGAGTTACAATGAACATCATCGGTGTGCCAAAATGTTCCTCCCCCTGACACCACAGGCCTGCTGAGCCTTCTACAGAATCATCATCATTCTAAGTAGTAGTAGTTTTATTTATATGCTGCGTTTCTCCCAGCAAGGGACCCAAAGTGGCTCACAACATTAATCATGGAATCATGGAATTGATTGGAGCCCTCACCACCTCCCAAGGTATTTGGTTCCGTTGTCATACTGCTCTAGAAGTTAAGACATTTTTCATGATATCCAGCCTAACTTGGCTTCCTGTAGCTTGAGCCCATTATAAAGAGTCCTGCACTCTACAGTGGTTGAGAACAGATCCTGCCCCTCCTCTGAAGCACAGCCTTTCAAGTCTTCGAAGAGTGCTCTCCTATCTCCCCTCAGCCTTCTTTTCTCAAGGCTAAGCAGGCCCAGTTTTTTCAGCCTTTCCTCATAGGGCTTGGTTTCCAGCCCCCTGATCCTCCTTGTCGCCTTCTTCTGAACTTGTTCCAGTTTGTCAGCATCCTTCTTGAAGTGTGGTGTCCAGGACTGGATACAGTTCTCTAGATGAGGCCTAACCCATGCAGAATAGAGGAGGACTATCACCTCATGGGATTTGGAGACTATACGTCTGTTAATGCATCCTAAAATAGCATTGGCCTTTTTTGCAGCCACACTGTTGGCTCATATTTAACTTATGATCTACAACAATTCCAAAATCCTTCTTGCTCATAGTATTATTTAGCTAAGTATCCCCTCTCTTATAAAGGTGCCTTTGGGTTTGATTCCCTACGTGTAGAGCTCTGCACTTCTCCCTGCTGAAGTTCATTCTGTTGTTTTCAGCCAAGTGCTCAAGCCTATCTTGATCATTTTGAATTTTAGTTCTGTCTTCCAAGACATTAGCTCTTCCACCCAATTTTGTGTCATCACCAAATTTGGTAAGCATTCTTATCAAATTTCCCTCATCCAAGTCGTTAATAAAAATGTCAAAGTTCACCAAGCCCCAGTGCTCGTTGTTCTGAGTTTATTAAAATTGGCTTTCCTAAAGTCCAATATATTATCCAGTTCTAACTGTTGCTTCCTGTCCCACATATAGGTTTCTCAGGAGATGGATAAGGTGGTCAGGCACGCCCATTTCTTTTAGGACTTGCCATAGTTTGCTGTGGTCCACACAGTCAAAGGCTTTTGCATAGTCAATGAAGCAGAAGTCGATGTTTTTCTGGAACTCTGGATCTGAGTTATGGGGACACCCATATTGCACTAGTGTTACATTAAATTTGTAGTTAACAAAGAATGGCATTTAGAGGTACAATGAACATCATCTGTGTGCCAAAACGTTCTTCCCCCCGACACCACAGGCCTACTGAGTATTCTACAGAATCATCATCATTCTGAGGAGTAGTAGTTTTATTTATATGCTGCATTTCTCCCAGCAAGGGACCCAAAGTGGCTCACAACATTAATCAAGGAATCATGGAATTGATTGGAGCCCTCACCACCTCCCACGGTATTTGGTTCCGTTGTCATACTGCTCTAGAAGTTAAGACATTATTCATGATATCCAGCCTAACTCTGGCTTCCTGTAGCTTGAGCCCATTATCAAGAGTCCTGCACTCTACAGTGGTTGAGAACAGATCCTGCCCCTCCTCTGAAGGACAGCCTTTCAAGTCTTCAAAGAGTGCTCTCCTATCTCCCCTCAGCCTTCTTTTCTCAAGGCTAAGCAGGCCCAGTTTTTTCAGTCTTTCCTCATAGGGCTTTGTTTCCAGCCCCCTGATCCTCCTCCTCGCCCTCCTCTGAACTTGTTCCAGTTTGTCAGCATCCTTCTTGAAGTGTGGTGTCCAGAACTGGATACAGTTCTCTAGATGAGGCCTAACCCATGCAGAATAGAGGAGGACTATCACCTCATGGGATTTGGAGACTATACTTCTGTTAATGCATCCTAAAATAGCATTGGCCTTTTTTGCAGCCACATCACACTGTTGGCTCATATTCAGCTTATGATCTACAACAATTCCAAAATCCTTCTTGCTCATAGTACTATTACTTAGCTAAGTATCCCCTCTCTTATAAAGGTGCCTTTGGGTTTGATCGATGACCCCCCCCGCCTGCAGATACAGAGGCCAGTTCTCCTGTGATGCTCCGAAGGGAGCTTCCAGCTGGACCCCTGCTTTCCCTGGTTTAGAACTCTGCACTTCTCCCTGTTGAAGTTCATTCTGTTGTTTTCAGCCCAGTGCTCAAGCCTATCTTGATCATTTTGAATTTTAGTTCTGTCTTCCAAGACATTAGCTCTTCCACCCAATTTTGTGTCATCACCAAATTTGGTAAGCATTCTTATCAAATTTCCCTCATCCAAGTCGTTAATAAAAATGTCAAAGTTCACCAAGCCCCAGTGCTCGTTGTTCTGAGTTTATTAAAATTGGCTTTCCTAAAGTCCAATATATATGGGCAGATACATTCTGCTTTTGTTTCTTCGAAAATCAAGAACTCAGGGAGAACATGGTCACGCTCTCCATGAGTTCCTCTTGCTCCCACTTCTTCTACCTAGTCATCTCTGTTGGTCAGAATCAAGTCAACGATAGCAAATCCTCTCGTTTCTTTCTCCATTTTTTTTAGGAGAAAATTATCAGCCACACAAGCCAGGAATTTCTTGAAAGGACCATACTTGGCAGAATTTGTCTCCCAACATATATCTGGATAATTGAAATTTCCCATCACTACTATGTAGTTTCTCTTGGAAAACCCTGCAGTTTTCAAAAGTTTCATCCGCTTCCTCTCTTTGATTGGGCTGTCAGTAGTAGACTCCAGCAACCAAGTTCCTTTTGTTTTTTGCCACAACTAGATTGATCCAGATGCTCTCGATGGGACAACCACTCTCCTTCTCCTGTACTTCTGTGCAGGAATGTCTATTTTTGACATATACTGCCACTCCACCTC